AACACCAGCCCCCGGGGGGCCTTGGCCTGCCACAGCAGCAGGTCACCCTGCTGGAAGGCTAAGGCCAGACCAAGGCACAGCTCACCAGTAGGACCCTCTCTCTCAACAAGGTCAGGGTTGCCCTGGCAACAACCCATCTTCACCCACATAGAAACCACCTTTGCCCACCCAGTTACCCACCAGGGTTACCTCTCAGAGCCCAAGGCCTTCAGGTTTAAACATATCCTGATGGTGGTATCTGAGGGATACCCTGCTGAGTGTCTACCCCACTCCCCCACTCCCCTCTGTTAAAAAGAACTCCAGCTTGGGCCACTTGACCCCATAGGGTCATGCTCCTCAGGGAGGCAGAGTCCCCCTCGCCCCACAGGGAATCTTGGTTGGTCTCAGCCAATGCTGGCTCTAAGCTCTCATCTTGCCACACGATTGGTTTAGGTCTGGGCATGTGACACAATTCTGGCTAATGAGACATGAAGAGTCACCTATTGGGGACTTCTGGAAGAGATTTTCTTGCTCTTAAGAAATTATACACAGAAAAAAAAAAATAGCACTGCCTCTGGTCACCACTGAATAAAGATATAAAGCCTGAAACTGTCACCATTATCTTAGAAACACGAGTGGAAAGCCAAGAGAGTCATAAGAGTGAGCCAGAGCTCTGAGTGTGCCGATTCGCTAAGTTAACCAACCTGGACTCACCTGCTACCAGGCTTCTTCTTATGAAGAAAACAGTCCCTCTTAGTGTAGTTTCCCTTAGTTCACAATGGCAGAAGGGCTCAGAAAGACAGCCTTTTGATCTCAGAGACCAGGCTGGCCTAGGGGCTAAGCTTCCCCTGTCTCAGAGTTCTTGTCCAAAGTGAGTAAATGGAGTTGGTGTCTCTAGAATCTATACAAATGCCTCTCTACCAGATCCAGTCCTAGGACTGCAGGGACCCTTAGAAAGAGATGTATAAGGCAGGGTCCTTGTCCTCATGGGGGACAAGTAGGAGAGTTAAAATGTGCTAGTACCTACGCCGCAAGGGACTATGATAGACCTGTCCCATGAGTGGTATATGTTTTAAGGGATAACTGTCAGCAAAGGAGACGAGGAGAGGCTTCCTAGAGAAGATAAGAGTTCTTCAAAGGACAGGCACTTCAACCGGGTCTTTACGAATAACTAAGAATGCAAACCAAAATTCTATCTGAGCTAACAAACTAACTCCACTAATAAATCATTCACTGTGTACCTACTACATGCCATGTGACCTCATTCAGCCCCAGCACTTTAAATATCATCTATCCATTAAAGACTCCCAAACTTCTCTCTCAAACCCCTGGATCTTTTCTCGGACTTCATCTTAACTGTCCATGACATCTCTCTACTCAAAAGAATCACCCCCATCCCAAATATGTCCTTCTGAAAGTCTTCCCTATGGCAAGAAATAGCACCATCGCCCACCCTGTAAGTCATCCCAAAGGTAAAAGGCAACCTTGAGTCCTCCCTTTCCTCCTCCACTCCACATCCAATCCTATAGAAAGCCCTCTCAGTCTTACCTCCAAGGTCTACCTAGCTCCATCTGTTTCTCTGTCTCCACTGCCATCACATAGTTCAAGCCTCTGGATCTAGAGTTCAAGTCCAGTCTCCTGCCCATTTGTCCTCCTGCTCAGGTCACCCCATTCCAGAGAGAGGTTTGAAATAGTGAATCTGAGCATCTTCCTCTCCTGCTTAAAGCCTGTCAAAGGCATTGCTTTATACTGAGAAGTCATTGAACTTTCCTCCAGAGCATATAAGGCCCTCTTCCTGCTAGGCATTCCCTGTCTTCTCATAGTACTCTCCTCACCACACTCTGGATCACACCAAGCTCTTTCTTTCCCCTAAGCCTTAGAAAGCCTGCAAGCCTTCCTTCAAGCTCTGCCTATGGCTGGTGCCCACTGTCCTTCATGTCTCATCTTGAATGTCAATTCTTCGGTGAAGTCTTCTCTGAGGACCACACTCTGCTCACCACCCTGTCACCTGTTTATTTACTCCACGGTACCTCTAACTTGCAATTATTCCATTTAGCTGTCTGTTCCCTTGTTTACCATCTGTTTCCTTCGACCAAAGTGTAAATTACATGAAAGGCTTATCTGTCTGTCCATCATGGGATCCTCAGCACCAACCCCCAGGATCCAGCAAAAGCAAGTGTTCATTGAATGAATGAACTTCAGGAATCATGGGTAAGCACTTTACAGTACAAGAAAAATTATCATCTGTTTTACAAAGAAGGAAGATTGTCTCTGTCTTCTGAGATGACAGGCTTTAAGACTAGAACCTGGAGCAGGTGCTGGTCATCTTTGCTGCTAAGCTTACTAGAGAAGGATGTTGATCTGGAGACAAATGGAGCCAAGGGATAGCAAGACACGACTCTGTGGTGACATCATTTGAGAATCAGGACCCAGCCTTTCCTGAAACCACCTACCACAAAGCAGCTTAAAAGGGAGAACTCTGAAGACCAAAGGGCTAATGAGATCATGCTGCCAGTTAGAGGAGGTGCTGGAACTAGAGTCTAGGATTTTCCAAATGCATGACAGCACTGTGTCCCTCTGGTGAGCTGGGGCCTCAGCTGGAGCCCAAGTGTGTCTACCACATGGATATGGTAAGTCTGGATGGTCTAGTAACCTGGCAGACTGGAAGACAGAAGTCAACTCCCTGAGAGATGGGAAAGCCTCCTGGAATGGAGCCCACCCAGAGCCAGGAAGAATGAGCTTGCCTCGATAAGTCTCCATCATGGGAGAAGACTTGGGCATGATATAGTGAGGAGGTGTTCCCAGAAGCTGTCACCCAGACTCCACGGGACTCCTGCCTAGCTTCAGTGGAGAAATGAGCTACAAATAGAGACAAAGGGAGCAATTTCCCTGAAAAGCCTGTAGGACAACAGGATGAGCAGCACTGCTTGGACAACACACAAAGAAGTGATGGAGAGATCTTCCCAGGATGGCGCCTTCAAGGAACCACGTGACTGGCAATGGTCCAGGAAGAGACTACAGAAGTGCTGCCAGATTCACTCACAGGCAAGCTCAGAGGATTCCCAAAGCCCTGGGGGAGATGCTGGAGAAAGCCTAAAACCTCATGTAAGCAGCCAGGCACTAAAGCCACAGAGGTTTGGTGTGTGACAGTCAATGTGAGCTTATTTCTACTCTAGGCTGCGAAGACTTGGAGGGGACAGAGTGGGCAATGCTCCCTGTTCTCTCTTTCCATTCAGGGACACTTTCTTCTCCCCTCCCTCCTTCTTTCATGCATACACAGCCCACCAGGCTAGAATCTCAGACCCTGGGTTGGAAGGGATTCACAGGCCATCTCCAGCCCCACACCTGGTACTTGGTAGAAGGTAGAGCAAGGAGGGGCCACCTACCTCACTAGCAGTGACTGGAGCTCGGCTGATGCCCCTGTTGACTGAGTCCCACGACCGGGCCGTGAGCATGCAGGCAAACAAGGGGTAGAGATCCCCGGCCCCCAGGCGCTGGCTGTACTCCTTCACCTGCTTCATGTCCGTCCAGATCAGAGACTGCCAGAGGTGACAGTAGTCCAGGCGGAACTCTTCCGTGAGCATCTATGGTGGGGCAGCAGGGGCAGGACCTGAGCTTCTTATGCCAACAGAGGCCCAAGTCCCTGGCTGGCGCTGACCACCACAAATGGGATGAAGATGATTGTGGCTCCCCACAATGTCTGCTTCACCCCAAAGTCCAGACATCCCTAAAGGTTCAAGTTCAAAGCTCTATTTGGCAAGTCTTTGTCCTGAGTGGCAAACTGCTAACTGCTCACCAAAACCTATACTCTTGTCATCTGCCCAGTATAGTCGAATTTCCCAGCCTCCTTCTTCCTGAGCTCAACCCAGGGAAAATGACCGAAGCTCCACTTCCAGCTCTGGCCCTCGCATGCTTCTCTGAGCCCTCATCACTGCTGCTGGCTGGATGTATCATTACCTCCAGGGAGGCCTGAGAGACAGAGCCCTGAAGATCCTCCACCACCCAGGACTGACACATGAGCAAGAGATCAAACTTCTGTTGCCTCTGAGCCATCATCCATTTGGGGGTTACATGTGATGACAGCTAGTCTACTTAAACTAGTGCATCCTACTTCACTGACCTTTTCAGAGGAGGCCAAGACTTAGGATATGGGATCAGGGCCCTGAGGGAAGGAGCAGAAGACCACTGGAGAAAACTCTCCAGGACTACCTATCTTCCTCATGGAATCAAGTCAGGCCCTAAGCCCAAGACTGGCAGTGAATTTCCCAACTTCCAGGTGGGAGTTCACAGCTCACTGGAACCAGTTAACTCTTCCCATTTCAGAAGATGAGTCTGGGACCAACCAGTCCATAATTATAGGTTCCCTGCCCCCTTTTCCACTCATCTTACATCCTAACTGGGGCTCAGCATGGAGTTAATCACTCTTTCTGAAGTCCCAGCAGTCCCCTTCCCATGTCTGTTGCTGGCCCAAGGTTCTCTGAGAAAGCACACCCACGTATCCAAGCACATCTCCATCTAGTCCTCCTGACAGCCTGGAAAAGAAGTGCTGTCAACCCAACTTTATCTGGTAGAAATCTGAAGCTCAGAGGGCTCTCAGGGTGACTTGTACAAAATAGCAGCTCCTAAGGGAGAGCTGGCCCCTTCTCCTGATCCCTTGGCTATCCACCTGCCATTTCCATGGTTAATCAGGGACTCTGAGGGCCCCAGGTAGGACCAGATTCTGGGGTTGGCTAGTGGGGAACAGCATCTCCTACCTGGTAGAGTCCGTGGTCCAACAAGATAATCTCTGCCTTCCCTGTGTCTGGGTGCTTCCGTACCAGCACATTGCCTGGGTGGGGATCACAGTGCACGAAGCCGTTGACAAAGATCATCTCACTGTATATCTTGCCCAGGTGGCGCGAGATCTGAACAAGAAGGGAGGCAAGTGGGAATTCCACTCCATTAACACCTCTCTGGGACTTCTACTCTGGTCCTCAAATTAGTCATTTTCAAGAGGAGACCAAAAGGACCAGGTAGGCCTAGGTAGTCATGGTAGAAGTGATAGTTTAAGATGGTACAGTGTGTGAATTTAAGATAGAACATAAACTTAAATCCAGTCCTTAACTTTAGCCACATGTTACAATCACCTAAACTCAGAAGCAATGAGTTTCAGGCATGAGGTTTTTTATTTTTATTTTTTTGTTTTGGCTTATTTTTTGGAGATATTTTTGCTATAGTTTGTGTGCACTCAACAGAGAGGCAGAGAGGAGAAAGAGAAAGTGAGAAATCACCCTACAGGGGGGTGGCCATGCTGCAATCACCTCTCCTCCATTCTTTTCTCAGGATCTTGAGCATGCACACACATGGGTCTGGAGTGAGTTTCAAGTTTCTGGACCTAGTACTCAAACCATGGCCAGCCATGTGGGAGTCCAGCACCTTAACCTGCTAACTCCAGGCATGAGTATTCTTTGGAGTTCCCAAGGTGGGAGCCAGCAGTAGCATAGCAGTTATGTCACTGGACTTCCACAGTGTTGACCACAATTCGAGTCCCAGATCCAGTGGCTTGAAACTCAGCCGGGAGCGTGTACACATGTGCCCAAGATCCCAAAAAGAGAATGGAGGAGAAGCGATTATGGCATGGTCATCTCCCTGGAGAGATGATTTCTCTTTC